TTAATGGTAAATACATAATTTTATTATATACTTGGTTTTTTATATTTTCAATTACTACATTTAAAGTGTTGATTTTAAAACCAAATCATACTCATAGATTTGCATAAAATTTTTAAATGCTGAAGTTGCAAATTTAAGTAACTAATTTTTAGATAAAAGTATTCTATTTTTTATATTTTCATTTTTTTGCTTTTTAAAATTTGTTGTGGTAAAATACCTCAATTATATTTAGTAAGTGTAAAAACCCCTAAACTAAAGATTTACCGGTACTAGCGGTCATTTTGACATGCACTATAGACTGAGGGTTTAATCCATTAAATAGAATTAGTTTGAAAATTTTCTTATTAAATTTTTAGTTTGGGGGTTTTTATCCAAAAAACTTAGTTGAGGGTTTTTAACGTTAAAATCCTAATAATAACTATAAAAGTATATAAATCAGAGATTTTGGTATATAGGAAATCGTATTTTTTATTTTATTACTCATAATACAATATAATAATTAGTCAGAAGGAAAATATAGTATATATGTTTTAAAATATTTGTACTTATATGAAAATAGTTCTTTTGGTTTTATTACTATCATGATATAATGGGTATAAAATCTGTAGCATATAGGAAAATAAGTTTTGTTATAGTACTATCGTGAAGAAATTTTTGGGTTCACCCCCTAAGGCGGTGAATCTGTAGGTTCACAAACCAATAGGATTTCATTATCTCATATTCAATATTATCGAGTTATATTATGTTTTCAAAATTAAAAGATAAAATAAATTAAAAAAATAATCTAAGAGTTTAAATAAATTAAAATAAATTAAAAATGATGGGTATAAATTAAAAGATAAAATAATTAAAAATAATTAAAAATAATAGTAGCTGTCAATGATTAATCTAAGATTTTAGAGTTTATCCAAAGATTTAGGGTTTAATTTTTTGTTGACGGGTATTAAAACATTTTTTAAAAAATCAAGGATTTATCTAAGGGTTTAGGATTTAAAGAAAAGTTTTAAGGTTTAGGATTTAGGGTTTAGTGTTTTGATAATAGTATTAAAAAAATAATGTTATTTTGTTTGCAACTATTATTATTTTTTATTTATTTTAATATTTCATTTTTAAAAACATAATATAACTCGACAAAATTTTGTTTCCTTTTTTAAAAGATACTGAATATAAAATAATATAATATTATTGGTTTATGACACTAGAGATTCATCCTAAAAGATGAACCCAAGAATTATTCACTATCATGATACAGTGGACTAATTAGTAAAGGAAACAAATACAAAAGTATGTTAGATACAAAGTCAAAAGAAAAGAATCCCAGAGAACAAAGACCAAAATGAAACACTGAATTTGGCGTGGTCGTAAGTTCATCCTCATCATCCTTGATCTCTTTATTATATAAGTCTCTCTCTTCTTCTTCCTCGAACACATCTTCCTCTCTCGATCAAGTTCTTACTTTCTAGGACCGGCATTGAAATGTAGGTGACTTTAGATAATATATTAAAGCTTTCAATTATTATTTTTAATACAAATTTGAAGAGGGCCTACAAATTTTTTTGTAGGGAGTTTGTGTATGTATAATTTTCTTCAAAATTTTCAGTGGCCTAAAGCTAATGTTTTGTTGGCCTTTGTCATTTGTGTCTTTTTTCTGGTTAGGTCCGCATCTGTTGGGATGGTAGTTTTCAACTTTAAGGACTTTGATAACACAGTGCAGAAAACTAAAAGTGAGTTAGTTTATGTTCTTCCTGTAATTTCATGTCTTTCTCCTTTTATGTTTCTCTAGTTTTATTTTCTTTTTATGTTATTTCATTTTATGTGTATATTATGGTGCAGTTACGAAGAACTGCTCTTGTCCCTTTTGCTATTATCTATGTGGTAGCTTCCAGGTGGGCAACTATTTCTACCGAGGCCTAACATATGCCATTTCCATGTTTTGTTTATCTGAGAAAGCGTGTTCTAGATGGAGTTTACAATCTCTTGTTCTTGTGTTTTTGTGCAGGGGCTTCAACTTCATTTGAATTCATTTCATAAATTACTTGATTATGAGTTCCTGGTATGTGGTTCATATGGAACTCTCTTGTTTTACTGTCTTTTTTATTTTACTTTTGAAACTATAGTAAAGAGGGTCTTTCCTATTGTAGACTTCAGAAGAAAACCAGACAGTTAATGTCTCTGTAAGACCTGATACTTTCGGAGAACAAACCGAGGTCATTTTCTATAAACTTGGTAACTTGGGAAAACCCTAAAACTGCTGAAACATTAGTTGATATTCTATCTTTTTTTACACCAGGACAAAGGAAACCATCAAGAAAATTCTGATCCTCTCTCCTTTTGGTATTTTTCTGACGACTCTGATTCTCACGAATCTGAGGGTCCTCTTGATTTATCTGATGGACCATCAGAGGCTACAAGGTTTGTTTACCATTCTATGTTGTTCAAATTGTTCTTGTTATTATGCGGTTACTGACTGTGAAATGTTCTTCAGGACCTCACTTCTCGAGACACGCCAGTTCTATCATTCTCGCACACTTCAGGTGAATCAATCAGTTCTTTTTGCATAGTCTTGGAATTGCACATTATGATATCTTATNTGGACCATCAGAGGCTACAAGGTTTGTTTACCATTCTATGTTGTTCAAATTGTTCTTGTTATTATGCGGTTACTGACTGTGAAATGTTCTTCAGGACCTCACTTCTCGAGACACGCCAGTTCTATCATTCTCGCACACTTCAGGTGAATCAATCAGTTCTTTTTGCATAGTCTTGGAATTGCACATTATGATATCTTATCAAAGTATAGTTGGTCCCAGTTATATATACTCATGGTTTATTTGTTCTTGTTCATTTTTGTATATATGCTTCTGTTTATATCCCATGCGGTATATATTATATTTTTACTAACCAAAAACTGCATGTTCTGTTGCAAAGCCTATGACACTCGAGGAAGTAATGTCTGATCGAGACAGTGAAGATGAAGTCGATGATGAAGATACAGCCTTCCAAAATCGCCATGTATTTAATGATTTCTTTCCTCACTCATTAAATAAACAACGAAAAAGATTATGGCATACGATGTAACATGCTAATGGCTTTTGAAAACTTTAAATTTCTGCAGATAATTCGTGCCTCTAAGGATGTGAGTCCGACTCACGCGAACTTCATGAATCTTTGGAACTCATTTGTAAACAAGCAAAGGTAACTCCTTTAATTAATTATACACTTCATTGCACACACAATCATAGATATGCACGAATTTAATGCGATATTCATGCTAACTATAGAATAACTGTCTAATATATCCACATAATCTTTGAATAGATTAGTCCACCACTATGTCTTATATTTCATACATGTCTAAATGATTTTGGTTTCAGGGTTATCGTCGACGGTCATGTTCCTTGGGCATGTGAAGCTTTTTCAAAGTTTCACAAGAAAGAGTTTATCGAATCCAAACCACTCCACTCGTAAGTTACTCTCGTATTTATTTATATACAGACGTACAGATAAAAGTTTAAGACAATTAACAACATTTGTGTTTCAAAAACATTTAGGTGCTTGAGAATTTTTTTGCTCAAACTGTGTGACTATGGGCTTATCAACGCTGTCACTATCAACAAGTGCAATCTCATAATCGAGGATAGCCAAGATGATCCCTCAGACAACACCAACAACAATAACAGTGTGAATCCCGGCATTGACCTAAACAGAAACATTACAACGGATGTTGACAATAACGAAGTCGATCGTGGCGTTGACCTAGAGAGCAACAATACGGTGAATGATAACAATAACAGTGTTGATCGTGGCATTGACCTAAACAGGAACGTTGTGATGGATGTTNCCAAGATGATCCCTCAGACAACACCAACAACAATAACAGTGTGAATCCCGGCATTGACCTAAACAGAAACATTACAACGGATGTTGACAATAACGAAGTCGATCGTGGCGTTGACCTAGAGAGCAACAATACGGTGAATGATAACAATAACAGTGTTGATCGTGGCATTGACCTAAACAGGAACGTTGTGATGGATGTTGACGAGGATGTGAATGAAAATGAAGACAAGTAATAAAAGACCTCCGAATTAAAAGACCCCTTTTCTCGGGCTGCAACCTTTCTCTCTCTGTCTGAACGATACACCTTTTCAGATCCCTTCAAATTTCTGAACAATCTGCCCTTTCACATGCTTATTTAAATTTTTTGAATTTTTAAACAAAGCACCTTTTATTTAATTGAAACATTGAAGTGTTTACTTACCTTAATTCTTAATTGAGGTAACCTCAAAATGCTGTGATAAACTCAAAACACCTTTCACATTCTTCTTTAATTTTTTGAACAAGCAACTTTTATTTAATTAATACATTGAAGTGTTTAGTTACCTTAATTCTTCATACACACCACCATCATTGTCTATGTATAATATCAAACATGTTTTTCTTCTTCGTTGACGTCTTCCTTTTTGTAGGACAAAAGTTAATCCAAGATTGAGTTTATCACAGTTTATTTATGGTTTGGTTTGTTACTAGTTTTACAATCATTTTTCCATATTAGGTACCATACCGAACCAGTTTGATTAACCAATAACTATATATATGAAGAACCTGAACATACGCAATTTTTCTTTGAATATATGTGAACATACACAACTCTTCATTGAATATATATGACTTCTCACATAGTATTCCTTAGTTATATATATGATATATTGCAAAGAGAAGAAGTCATATGACTTTTCACATAGCATTCCTTCGTTATATATGATATATTGCAAAGAGAAGAAGTCATACTTGTTCATAACAAGAATATTCTAGAGAGAGTACAAATATTTTAGACAGAAAATTTCAAGGAATCAAATAAAATGTACTTGTTGAATTTTCAGATCTAGCGCTTTTCTCCATCTTGTTATAACTTTTTTTTAACTTTTGTTATGTACTGCATTATAACTATTATTTTCTTACTTAATCTGAAACTCAAGTCTACATCACACTCTCCGATAATGGCAGAGGCTTTGGCAATACGAGAGGCTTTATGGAAGTGCAAGGAGCTTGGAATTACAAGAATCAGACTTGAATCAGACTCAGCAGGGCTGATCAAGGCGCTCAATGCAAGGACCTCCCTCAACGGACTCTATGGGGTTTTGGCTGATATTATATCGTTAGTTTCGTCTTTTGATTTCTGCTCCCTTAACTGAATTTCCAGAGTGAGAAATGTAGAAGCTGATATGCTTGCAAAACAGATCTTGGCTGTTGAACTAGCTTTAATGGCTCCACCTACTTTGGTCTGAGCTTTTTAATATAAATGTGTTTCAAAAAAAAAAAAAAAAAAAGTCTACATCACACTCTGAAACTGCAGAGTTGTTCATAGATAAATTTGAGCATATCACATACCAAATCAGTTTGGTTAACCAATAGTTATATAACTAAGACCATAAACGAACATACACACAATTCTTCGTTGAATATATGTGAACGTACGCAACTCTTTGTTTTTTTTTTTGGTAAAAATGTAAAGATATTATTACCAATTTTCAGATTTTTGACAGAGATACAAAGACAACAAGAAGCAGAAGAAAGAAAATAATACTAATATTAAACTTGATCTAGTCTAAGCAAGATAGACGTAACAAACAATAACCGGAAATCAGAGGCCTCAACTAAACCGCACAGCTGCTTGCCGCAAAAGGAAGAGCCACAGTTAAACCAAGAGACATAACCCTGTAATTTTGGCCTCCCCGATGATCTGCTCTAAAAGATCTGGCCTGACCAAGAACAGCTCGAAGAAGACGACGTTAGCATCCACCCACACAAAGCCAGCCACGCCCGAGGTCAAGCGCCCGCTTCAACATACCGAGCATTTATTGGAATAAAAAAGATTACTAGGCACAGCCCAAAATCAATTGCAAACAAATTCCGAACCCACAGATTACTAAGCCGTGGCGGCCACACACACAGTAGCACGCAAGACGGCCTTTTGCCGTAGATACAGCACGACTCCACCGGAGCCTAGATGGTCACGTCCTTGTAATCAAGCAAGAAAGCGGAGATAAAATATGTAAATTTTACAATAGAATAACATTATTATCTAAAAATTTAAAATAGAATAATAATAATATATTTTAGTTTTAGACAATAATACTATTCTATTTTGAATTTTACATATTTTATTTTTTATTTAATATATCTTTAATGGTAAATACATAATTATTATTATATATTTGGTTTTTATATTTTCAATTACTACATTTAAAGTGTTACTTTTAAAAACAAATCATACTCATAGATTTGCATAAATTTTTAAAATGCTAAAGTTGCAAATTTAAGTTACTTATTTTTAGATAAATGTACTCTATTTTTACTTTTTTTATTTATTTTTTGCTTTTTTAAAGTTTTTGTGGTAAATTACGTCAATTATGTTTAGTTAGTGTAAAAACCCATAAACTAAATATTTGCCGGTAATAGCAGTCATTTTAACATGCACTATAGACAGAGGATTTAATCCATTAAATATAATTAGTTTGGAAATTTTCTCATTAAATTTTTAGTTTGGGAGTTTTCACCCAAAAAAGACTTAGTTGAGGGGTTTAGACGTTAAAAATCCTAATAATATCTATAAAAGTATATATATAAGATATTTTGGTATATAGGAAATTGGATTTTTTTATTTTATCACTCATAATAAAATATAATAGTTAATTACAGAAGGAAAATATGGTATATATGTTTTTAAATATTTGTACTTATATGAAAATAGTTCTTTTTGGTTTTATTACTATCATAATATAATAGGTATAAAATCTGTAACATATAGGAAAATAACTTTTGTTTAAGTACTATCATGAACAAATTTTTGGGTTCACCCCCTAAGGCGAACATCTAGGTTTACCAATCAATAGAATTTCATTATTTGATATTCAATATCTTTTAAAAAAGGAAAAAAATATTATCAAGTTATATTATGTTTTCAGAATTAAAAGATAAAAAATAAAGAAAAAATAATAGTTGTTGTAAACAAAAAACTTTAAAAAATATAGATATATATTTTTAATACCGTTAGCAAAATACTAAATCTTAAACCCTAAACCTTTGGATTAATCTTAAACCCTAAGATTTATGATTAATCCAAGGGTTTAGAGTTTATCCAAGGTTTAAGATTTAGGGGTTAGGGTTTAGCTTTTTGTTGGCGATATTAAAACATTTTTAAAAAATCAAGGATTTATCCAAGGTTTTAGGGTTTACTAAAAAATTTTAAGATTTAGGATTTATGGTTTAGTATATTGATAATAGTATTAAAAATATTTTTTTTTGTTTGCAACTACTATTAATTTTTATTTATTTTTATTTTTAATTTTTAAAAACATAATATAACTCGATAATATTTTGTTTTTTTAAAAGATATTAATTAAATATAAAATAATATTATATTATTGGTTGATAAACTTGTAGGTTTATTCTAAAAAATGAACCCAAGAATTATTCACTATCATGATACAGTGGACTAATTAGTAAAGGAAACAAATACAAAAGTTGGTAAGATACAAAGTCAAAGAAAAGAATCTCAGAGAACAAAGACCAAAATGAAACATTGAATTTGGCGTGGTCGTAAGTTCATCCTCATCATCCTTGATCTCTTTATTATATAAGTCTCTATCTTCTTCTTCCTCGAACACATCTTCCTCTCTCGATCAAGTTCTTACTTTCTAGGACCGGCCTTGAGATGTAGGTGACTTTAGATAATATATTAAAGCTTTCAATTATTATTTTTAATACAAATTTGAAGAGGGCCTACAATTTTTTTGTAGGGAGTTTGTGTATGTATAATTTTCTTCAAAACTTTCAGTGGTCTAAGACTAATGTTTCGTTGGCCTTTGTCATTTGTCTTTTTTTTTTTGGTTAGGTCCGCATCTGTTGGGATGGTTGTTTTCAACTTTAAGGACTTTGATAACACAGTGCAGAAAACTAAAAGTGAGTTAGTTTATGTTCTTCCTGTAATTTCATGTCTTTCTCCTTTTATGTTTCTCTAGTTTTATTTTCTTTTTATCTTATTTCATTTTATGTGTATATTATGGTGCAGTTACGAAGAACTGCTCTTGTCCCTTTTGCTATTATCTATGTGGTAGCTTCCAGGTGGGCAACTATTTCTACCGAGGCCTAACATATGCCGTTTCCATGTTTTGTGCGTTTTGTTTATCTGAGAAAGCGTGTTCTAGATGGAGTTTACAATCTCTTGTTCTTGTGTTTTTGTGCAGGGGCTGCAACTTCATTTGAATTCATTTCATAAATTTCTTGATTATGAGTTCATGGTATGTGGTTCATATGGAACTCTCTTGTTTTTCTGTCGTTTTTTAATATATGAAATTATAGTAAAGAGGGTCTTTCCTATTGTAGACTTCAGAAGAAAACCAGACAGTTAATGTCTCTGTAAGACCTAATACTTTCGGAGAACAAACCGAGGTCATTTTCTATAAACTTGGTAACTTGGGAAAACCCTAAAACTGCTGGAACTTTAGTTGATATTCTATCTTTTTAACACCAGGACCAAGGAAACCATCGAGAAAATTTTGATCCTCTCTCCATTTGGTATTTTTCTGACTCTGATTCTCAAGAATCTGAGACAGGAAATTTATCTGATGGACCATCAGAGGCTGGAAGGTTTGTTTACCATTCTATGTTGTTCAAATTGTTCTTGTTATTATGCGGTTACTGACTGTGAAATGTTCTTCAGGACCTCACTTCTCGAGACACGCCAGTTCTATCATTCTCGCACACTTCAGGTGAATCAATCAGTTCTTTTTGCATAGTCTTGGAATTGCACATTATGATATCTTATCAAAGTATAGTTGGTCCCAGTTATATATACTCATGGTTTATTTGTTCTTGTTCATTTTTGTATATATGCTTCTGTTTATATCCCATGCGGTATATATTATATTTTTACTAACCAAAAACTGCATGTTCTGTTGCAAAGCCTATGACACTCGAGGAAGTAATGTCTGATCGAGACAGTGAGGATGAAGTCGATGAGGAAGATACAGACTTCCAAGACCCCCATGTATTTATGATTTTTTCCGCACTCATTAAGTAAACAACGAAAAAGATTATGGCATACGACGATGTAACATGCTAATGGCTTTTGAAAACTTTAAATTGCTGCAGATAATTCATGCTTCTGAGGATGTGAGCCTGACTGAAGCGAACTTCATGAATCTTTGGAACTCATTTGTAAGAGAGCAAAGGTAACTCCTTTTATTAATTATACACTTCATTGCGCACACACACACTACACACACAATCATAAGTATGCACAAATTTAATGCGATATTCATGCTAATTATAGAATAACTGTCTAATATATATCCACATAAATATCTTTGAATAGATTAGTCCACCACTATGTCTTATATTTCATACATGTCTAAATGATTTTGGTTTCAGGGTTGTCCCCGACATTGTTCCTTGGGCATGTAGATCTTTTTCAAAGTTTCACAAGAAAGAGTTTATCGAATCCAAGCCACTCCACTCGTAAGTTACTCTCGTATTTATTTATATACAGACGTACCGAGAAAAATTTAAGACAATAACACAATTTGTGTTTTAAAAACATTCAGGTGCTGGAGAATGTTTTTGCTCAAACTGTGGGACTATGGGCTTATCGACGCTGTCACTATCAACAGATGCAATCTCATAATCGAGGATAACGAATATGATCCCTCAGACAACACTAACAACAATAACAGTGTGAATCCTGGCATTGACCTAAACAGAAACATTACAACGGATGTTGACAATAACGAAGTCGATCGTGGCATTGACCTAGAGAGCAACAATACGATGGATGTTAACAATAACAACGTGGATCGTGGCATTGACCTAACCGGGAACGTTACGGTGGATGTTAACAATAACAGTGTTGATCGTGGCATGGACCTAAACAGGAACGTTGTGGTGGATGTTGACGAGGATGTCAATGAAAATGAAGACAAGTAATAGAAGACCTTCGAAATAAAAAGACCCATTTCCTTGGGCTGCACCCTTCATCTCTCTCTCTCTCTCTCTCTCTCTCTCTTATTGCAGACATTAAACTAAATTTGTTTCTTAAGTTTTATCTATCTATATTATTATTTGAGAATTGGTTTTTCTTATTTTTCATGTTTTCCATAATTTTAGATTATTGGGCTTATTTGTTATGTTCTATGATTTTGACTAATGAATCATCAATTTAAATATATAAACTATCTTACTTTTAATATGCTTTTTAACAGTTGTATTATATTAATTGATAATCAAT